ATTCCCGAACACTCAGATTCTTGACTTCGAGAAGGGTCCTCCTGGGATTTAGTGGTAGATTAAGTGGTAACTCTTAATTCTATCATTAGAAACCCCTGTTTTTAATTTGGTTTCTAAATCCACTGCTATCACTCCCCCCATAGCGACAATTTTCGCGGTTTTTGATGTCATCTCCCGCATTCCGACCTCATGCGGTCTGTCGACGCTCACGGCGGAACCCTCAGTATTCACTGTCTACTAGTAGTTCGGTCGTACCTCCCTTCCTCACTGCTCGGCTGAGCTCGAAGCGTGCTGTGGCCGATCGCATCTCGGTTCCTCTCGTCTGGCCTCTTTGACACGGCGTACCAATCCGGCCCAGACGATCTCAATTGTGAATCCCGTATACAATGCCATATGCAAGCCAGTCCTGTCTGACCCGCATTCCTACCCATCAAGGCTGAGATTTATTGCTACCCTGACGATGACCGACAACATTCCGTTATATACCGCCACCTACAGGCCAGTCCTGCTCGCTTTTTTTCTGTTATTATTTTTATGGAGGGGTTTTTTTCTCCTGTAAAATCAATCCAATTATATTTAACTTTTAGTAAGGAGTTTTTTTCACCCCTCAATCATCATGTTTCTCAATGGACTTCTAATTCAGAAAATATGAATTGCATTTTGTAAAGATTCGGCCTACCTCGTCTAAAACTCGCATGTAAATTTATTTTAACTTGCTTTGATGGGACCCCGACGGGTCTTTAATAAAAATTATCTATCTATCTATCTACAGAAGGCGAAGAACATATGCTGGCACCTGTTATGACTTCAGTCACGATCTTAGCCCCCAGAGTTGGTGGGGAGGCCGCAAGCTTTCGTCTTTTAGCATGTGCTCTACGGTGCATTACAGCCAAGATAAATTTTTCGTCACAGTAGAAGGATCAAAACGTTGCTATCGTACAGAAAAGCGCATTATATAGCAAGTGCTACTGTTATTTAACTACGAAAACTAGAAAGAGATAGTCTGAAACGGTGTCACGACAAAGGTTTTTTACAAAATACGAATATTTTGCCAGATTGTCAAACAAAACTGGGAAAAAATTATACCTTGTAGTGAAAGGCGATTTTAAAAACGACTTAAGTCAGTCAGTCAGTCAGTGTATTTGAGGAAAATAGGCTTACGCCTTTGAATTCCCTATTTATACACAAAAACTCGATAAGTTACCAGAATTTGAATAAACTACAACAGTAAGTGCTGTATGCAGGCATTGATTTACATATATCACTGGTCTCATGGCTAAAAAGTCACATAGTCTGCTTGTTGCTGTAGCATATGTCTGTCAAGCCTACATTTAATGTTGCCACAGATTGAGACATGACAACCGTCTCGGGCAGATTATTCCACGGTTCCACGACACGGTTGCGTTAATTGCTTAAGAACATCCAAGTAAATGCAAAGCTTCACTTATCTTAGAAACTGAGTTGCGCGCCTTGACCTTTAGTCTCACTTATGTACTTTTCAGTTTCATTTCTTCTCCCAGTTTTCCACACTCGTGTTCTGCATAGATCCTTGTACCCACGTAGTTTCTAATATTTTCGTTAATGACAACTTTTCTATCGATCGTTATCGTTCGTTTTTGCTAACCTGGTTATAACATCGATGTCCAGTTATACGTTGCCTCTTGCATATAAAAAACTGCTTGCATTTTCCGCCCGTCGTTAATACTCACCACTTAGATAGATATATAATTTTTTAGATAGATAATTTTTATTAAAGACCCGTCGGGGTCCCATCAAAGCTTACTTGTGCGTCTGCATGCGAATGTCTGTGAGATAGATAATTTAGGTACGAACACACAAGATCAGGAGCCGCTGACCGAGAAACGAAAGTTATACTCAGATTCCAGTGATCCCCAGTATGTCCCCTCCCCGAGTTCGCAGGACATTATGGGTGTCTGCTATTTGCCGGTTGTCAGTCTATCTGGCCAGTTGTAAAGGGGTGGTCGCACAGTTAGTTCGTGTTTTTTTGTCCTAGTTCTCTGGGCTAACAGCCGGAAAAGATGAATATATATCAGGAGTAAGAAACATTGGAGTGCAAGCCACAATCAAAGCTGTCAAATAATATTGAATTATGTATCATATTGTTCGTTGAATTTGACATTAGAGGAGTAGTGTTCGACTGCTTACAATGATCTAATATAGTTTTATATATGTTTAATACGGCCTTAATATAGACTTACGCACAAATAATATGCATGATTTTCTCAAAAAGAATGTTATTATTGGCTCTTAAAGGGATATTTTATGTCAGGTGACATAGCTGATGGAACCGATAAAGGGAGGAAAGAAGGATTACGATTATCGGTTCTATGTTTATCAGTAATACGGTCTTTCATAAATTTGATTGTTTTTAGTGCCATGTTCCGGTATTATTCAGGCGGCTGGCATCATCAGAGCCCTACTGGACCAAATTCTACATCAATGTATTGACTTGAAAATTGTCCTATCTTATTCAAAAATAAATGTGCATTGCTATTTGAAAGGAATTTCTTATTTTTTACTTTAAACTCGACTAGGCTTCGACTTTTCCGGATAGCACTTGTAAGAGCATTCCAGATAGTGTCATATCTTATGGAGTAGAAATTCGACCGTTGAGACTGTGAATTTGGGGATCTTTATAATATTTTCGTTAGTTCTGGTGTTTCTGGGAACGTTGTGGTTTGTTAATAAATTCATTTTGAGAATATATTGGTCACGGGTGACCTTAAATATGAAGTTTAGACCTTTTTGGAGTCTTCTGGCACAGAGGGGCCGAAGACCGTATTTATGGTATAGTTCTAAGTATGAACCCTGGGTGCTATCACTTCTGGACAAAAATCTAGTAAAACGTCTCTGAATGCCTTATAGTTTCTTTTGGCCGTCTGAGGGCATTATGCCGAAGAAAAATGAGCAATAATCTAGGAGAGGTAAAACGCACGTTTTGAAAAATTTTATTCTTACTACTACTACTACTACTACTACTACTACTACTACTACTACTACTACTACTACTACTACTACTACTACTACTACTATAGTCACCACTCAACGTTGCATTCATGGCATTTCATGTATGTATGTATGTATACGCTCATTAAGAGCAGAGGACTCCTTTGAGTTTGCCCGTACAAACCAACTACGCGGCCATGCCTACAAAGTCGGGAATGAGCGCACGCGGTTAGACCGTCGAAAATTTTCACTCAGCCAGCGGGTTGTCCGACCGTGGAACTCGCTTACAAGCGAGACGGTGATGGCTGACATAATTTATTTGTTTAAATGAAAACTTGCTTGTCTAGTTTTCGACAGAAATCGGCTTTTATAGCATGACTTTACACAGCCAGTTTTGTAAAACCTGTCATATACAATCCTTCCGCACTTATGAACTTCCGCTTATGAACTACCTTATGATTACGATTTAACTGTCATCCGATCATATTGTAAATGCCTGCAATTTTATTTTTGAATACAAATCTGCGAAAACACTGTACATAAATAGGGTCATCTAGGGCTCTGCCTCTAACCCTCCAAATATATACATGCATGCATGCATGCATACATATATAATACTGCCGCCGTCAATACTATCAATGCTAATACGGTTAAAAACGGATGTGGTAGCATAATGAAAACTCCCACAGCTGGAAATACTGCTACTCAACCCTTCCACAACCTCAACTACTGCAACTCAGTAAACTACAACTGCTGCTGCCGGTACAACCACTAAAATCACTAATAAAGTTACCACTACCGACAGTACTTTTACTACAGTTACTAATACCGCTGTCCCTGGTACTATTAGTAATGCCACTGATATTACTACTATTACCACGACTACAGCAGAAATGGTGCATATTTAGGTACTAATTTGACGACAGCCAACAATGCGGCAACTAGTTAAAATTGCACTAATCTCACACGTAGCGCAACAGCAGTAACTGTCTCATTAGTACGTCAGAAACAAGTAGAACAACCTCAGTAAGTCTACCGAAGTAAGACGGAATGCTGCGGCTACTGCCGGTGCCTGACGAATTACCACTGAGGTCAGTAGATGGAATACGTCCGGGTAATGCAAACCTAATACCACTGCAATAGATTAATGTCAGCGGGGCTTCTGTTACCTCAGAAAACCGTTGGTAACATTACTACTACTACTACTACTACTACTACTACTACTACTACTACTACTACTGCTGCTACTACTACTACGGACACTACCAATACTACCCTACCAACTGTTAAGGTATGGGTAACACTGAGTAAAGTAGCCCTAGTTGCAGTAAGGCCAAGGACAATGTGACTGTTAATAAGGAGATAAATTCTGGCAGCAGAAAGTGACTAGAAATATCGCAAATAGATACCTAATGCAGTAGCCGCCACCGCAACAGATAATAGTAACAGAAATTGCAATAAATGATAGTATCACTCACTAGCACGAGAAATACCCCGAAAGACAAAATGTGCGCACACTCGACGAAAAAAGCAGCCGGTGCAAATAGATTTAAAAACACGTCCAGTTAAATCAGTAGGCGCTTAGTTTTAATTTCCAGACACCCCGATTTACGGCGAATCAAGTTGCGACACTGGTATAAAATCGTTTTAGCGAGTCAGGGATTCCCACCTATGATAAACGAAGGTCACTTCTGTGGAGTTGGGAGAGAGATTTGTTTGCCACCTCTCTTCCGCAATAATTTTCAGGTTAGGCGTCCTCTTAGCTTAATGTCTGACTGCTGTTTAACTCATAAACGCAGATAAATATTTTCGATGTTTACAATCCAGCCAGAAGGAGTCACAATCGGGAACGAATTTGAATTGCTCTCCGAGACTCAGCCTGTCGCGAACGCTAAAGACAGAACCGTCAATCCCAGACTATGAAGATCACGATAAGACCAGAGTTATGAAAGACTTAACAATCGAAAGTCAAACGACCTGACAATCCAACTCATGCCAAGCGCGTCACGTCGAGTTGTGTTCCTTCCATTCAGTTAAAAAACCAGCAAGTTCAAAAATGAGGAACAGGTAGGGAAAGGCAAGACAGTCTGGCGCCTCGGCACAGTACCCCCCTCCGAGACCGGAGGCCGGCGAAAACGACGCCGAAGGATGTGTACAGGTCTAAAAGAAATGCGTGACCGACCGATCAGGAAAGTGTACATGACGACCACAGCGAGTGAAATATACAGGGTCCGTAGAAGAGTGAATAAATCTGGTGGAGGAAGTGTTGGGGTTGGTGGTGGCAGTCGGAGATGGCGGACAGGAGGGCAAAGGGTAAATACGGGACGGTGGAATAGAGGCTGCATGGGGGAAACAGAAGGTTGAGGACCACAGGGCTCATCCGGAGGAATGTCAGGGACGGCAGCCTTGAGGCGGTCCACACTCACGACCTCTTCACGATTGTCGCGCTGAATGCGGAAAGTCTTCGGCCCGCGAGATAGCACCCGAAATGGGCCGTCATAGGGCGGTTCCAGGGGCCGGCGGACTTGACCACATCGAAGGTAGACGTGAGAGCACGTTGCCAAGTCCTTCTCGAGATAAGACGGAGAGGCGGAGGACCTGGGAGGAACCGGAGAAAGTGTCCGCATAAACTGCCGGATGCGATGCAGGAGGTTGGTAGGATCCTCAACTGCACCTTGAGGGGTTGGCGAGATCATCTCACCGGGGAGTCGGACGGTGGAGCCGAACACCAGTTCAGCTGCGGAACAATCAAGGTCCGGCTTCAGAGCGGAGCGGATGCCCAAGAAGACCAGGGGAATGTGGTCGGTCCAGTTCTCCGGATCGGTTGGCGGTGAAACCGCTCGACCATTCCGTTAGCAGTCGGGTTATAGGCTGTCGTCCGGATGCGGGTACAGCCTAAAAAGGAGAGTAAAGACTGGAAGAGGTTAGACTCAAACTGGGCACCACGGTCAGTCGCGATTGTGGAGAATGCACCAAAGATAGCAACCCAACGACTGAGAAAAGCCTTGACCACCGTTGGAGCAGCAATGTCAGACAGGGAATTGCTTCAGGCCACAGAGTGAACCGTTCCACACAGGTGAGGAGATAGGAACAACCATTGGACAGAGGCGGGGGGCCTACAATATCCAGGTGAACGTGGCTGAACCTTGAACCAGGACCGGGGAAGGTGCCTATGGGGGCCTTGTTGTGCCGCTGGATCTTACTCCGTTGACAGAGATACAAGCACGTGTCCACGCTTTCAGGTCTTTGTGCATCCCAGGCCAGACGAAGCGGTCGGAAACCAGCTTGTCGGTTGCTCGACTCCCAGGGTGAGAGAGATTGTGCAGGGAGGAGAAAACCTTACGGCGGGGGGATGGTGGCACAAATGGACGGTGGGAAGAGGTGGATACGTCGCATAAAATGGTGCCGTTGCCAGTTGTCAGTGGTAGTTCCTGAAGTTGGAGTCCTGAAACATCCTCATCACAAGGTGAACCGACACGGCGTTGTTCAGCGGCCATCTCAGCGAGGTCTATCCCGGGTGAAAGCTGAAGATGAGCAATGGAGGGCCTGGACAGCGCGTCAGCCACCTCATTCCGTGACCCGTCGATGTGGCGGATGTCTGAGGTAAACTGTGAGATGTAGTCCAGTTGGCGGATTTCCCGGGGGTTTAGTTTGTCAGTGTGGGAACGAAGTGCAAAAGTCAACGGTTTGTGGTCAGTGAAATTAGTGAAGTCACGACCTTCAAGGAAATGCCCGAATGCTTCACAGCCAGGTAAATGGCAAGTAATTCACGGCCAAAGGTACTGTAGCGTGTCTCAGCTGGTAAGAGCTTTTTGGAGAAAAAGGCAAGTGGTTGAGTCGAACCAGCAAGGTGTTGTTGAAGGACTACACCTACGGCTACGGTCCAAGCATCTACCATCAGAGACATGGGTGCATCAGCATGAAAGCGAGTCAGGAGGGTGGCGTCAGCCAGAAGGGCTTTTACCTGCGCAAATGACGTGAGTGCTGCTGTTGTAAGTTCAAAGGTGCACTTAGAACCTGAGAGGAGACTGGTCAGAGGTAGGATGGTATCGGCACAGTTCGGGAAAAACCGGCGATAAAAGTTCACCATACCAAGAAACCGTTGCAACTGACGCTTCGAGGTAGGGGATGGAAAGTCCCGAATGGCGGCAACCTTTGAGGGAAGAGGCTGAATGCCGTTTGAGTCTATCAGGTGAACTAAGAACTCAAGAGAAGTGTCTCCTGGGATACATTTGGAAGGATGCAGGGTGACACCAAACTGCTGAAATCGGTCGAAAAGCAGGGTAAGGTGATGGAGATGTTCCTCGACATCTCGACTGGCGACGAGAACATCGTAAATATACGCATAAACAAATGGAAGGTCGCGTCAAACACGGTCAATGAAACGTTGAAAAATCTGTGAGGCATTTCGGAGACCAAATGGCATACGAAGGAACTCAAACAAGCCAAAAGGAGTCGTCACTGCCGTTTTGGGAATGTCCTCAGCCGCAATCGGAATTTGATGAAAAGCCCGCACCAAATCGATCTTCGAGAAAACGATTTTGCCGAAAAGGGCTCCAGCAAAGTCCTGAAGATGAGGAACGGGGTACCGATCTAACATAGTGATATTGTTTAGGGCTCTATAATCGCCACAAGGACGCCAATCATCCGTATTTGGTTTAGGAACCATGTGCAAAGGAGATGCCCAGGGACTGTCAGACTGTCGATTAATCCCTAGTTGCAGCATGTGGTCAAATTCTGCTTTAGCAGCCACAAGACGCCCGGGAGCAAGACGGCGGGGACGAGAGAAAACGGGAGGACCAGTCGTTTTTATGTGATGAACAATATCATGGGGAAATCAGGTGTCAGAAAAATGGGATTTAGTGAGGGTAGGATATTTTGCTAAAAGTCTACGAAATGGACAGTCAGGGTCTGGGTCAAGGACAGAGAGCTAGTTAAAAGCTGAGGATGGAGGAAATCCTTTGACGGTGAGGGTAGTTGCGCGATCATGGAGGCGAAGTTGTCTGCAATCCACCAGAATGTCAAAGGCGGCCAAAAAATCAGCACCAAGGATAGCGGTGGGAACATCAGTAACCACAAATATGCAGGGGAATAATCACCGGAGACCAATATCCAGAAAGAGGGATCGAAATCCAAAGGTTGTAATGGGGGATGAGTTTAAGATTTGAAGGTAAAGACCATGGTGTGGGCAACTTTGGTCGGCTGGCGTGGGAGGGATAACACTAATCTGAGCGCCAGTGTCAGCTAAAAAATGCCTGCCACTCGTGTTATCACTCACGTAAAATGTGCGACCCGTAGAGTTGCCAGAGAGCTCGGCCGCATTTACTCTCCGGCCGAGGAGTTTCCCTGCGAGGACTTAAAGGAGCAGGGTGGGACACAGCGCCGCGCCTTGTCGCCATAGTTGACATGATACCAACGTAGGTTGGCAGTCCTGGAGCGAGAGCGGAAACGACGACGGTCACGGCCGAAGGAACGTCGAGAGGGACCGGGGGATCGGCGCAGCTGCAAAGCGGCAACAGTCGCTGACAACTGGGCAACCTGTCTTTAGTTCAGTCGGAGCAGAGGTGGACACATTAAGAGGATGGGACACCTGAGCAATCGTCGGGAATGACAAACGCTCAACCTCCATCATACGGTCAGCCATCTCCGCTAACTTTGATATTTCTAGGTCGTCGGAGCCAGAGGCCAAGATTGTTTGTACCGACGTCGGTAGACGTTCTAAGAACATCTCTTTAAAGAACTTGTCGTCGATTTTCATGTTCCCAACCAGAGAACGCATACGACGCAAGAGTTCCGACGACTTGCGATCACCTAAGGCCTCCTCTTTTACTAGCGCGTGATAACGCTGCCGATCGGAGACTGATGTCAGGCGAAGAAGTTCAGCCTTTAACTTGGTGTAAGGAGCATCAGTCGGGAAATCTCTCAGAAGCGTCTGCACTTGAGAAAGAATGGTGGGAGGGAGGGCCTCGACCAGCTTATAAAACTTGTCGGTTTCACGTGTTAGCTTAACTTGCCTCCCTTGCAAAACGATGGAAGTTATAGTAAAGAGCGCTATACAGCAATTTTGTGAAGAAAATAACATCTTGCAGGATTTTCAACATGGCCTCCGGAGAGGACGTTCCTGCCTCTCAAATCTGCTAGCTTGCCTGGAGACCTGAACCAGAGCTCTAGAAGAGGGTTTTGAGGTCGATGTCGTACACATCGATTTCCGCAAAGCTTTTGACACTGTCCCGCACCAACGTCTTCTTCACAAATTGAGCGCCATCGGCATCCGGGGTGATCTTCTGAACCGGATTAGGGCGTTTCTGGTTGGTCAGAAACAACGTGTCTGTATCGGGGATGATATGTCAGAATGGGCGAACGTGACCAGTGGTGTGCCGCAAGGCTCAATAATGGGACCATTGCTTTTCATCCTTGACGTCAACGACAGCCTTCAGGAACTCGACTTCGGCAAAATAATGTTTCCAGACGACGTTAAGCTCTGGAAAGTAATTAAGGGTCCGAATGCTCAGAGATCCCTTCAAGATAATTTGCACCGACAGCAAGCGTGGTCGAAGAATTGGCTTCTAGATTTCAATGTGGAGAAATGTGCCGTCCTTCATCTGCGTCTAACCAACTCTCATTCAAATGAGAGCCTGCGAACATATCGCCTGAAAGATATTAGGCTCCCCACAGAATCTTCACAGAAGGATCTCGGAGTTTGGATACAGAACAACCTGAAACCAACACTGCAGTGGCACAAGGCTGCAAAAAACGCCATGGGAGTGCTGCATGCAATAGAAAGGGCTTTCGTAAACTTTGACCAAGACCTTTTTGGGAGAGTGTACCGCACTTTTGCTCGGCACCACTTAGAATATGGCATACAAGCATGGTGGCCATGGCTAGTAAAGGACCAAGCATGCCTCGAACGCGTGCAACGGCATGCAACAAAGCTGGTAAACGGTCTAAAATGCCAATCCTACACAGACAGACTGAATTGCCTTAATTTATTCCCTCTGTGTTACAGGCATCAAAGAGGTGGTCTTATCCTCGTCTACAAGATAATACATGGCCTTGAGCATGGACTTAAATTTGAGGACATGTTTCATTGGCACCTTTCACCCAATCTTTGTGGTCACTCGATGAAGTTACGAACAACAATATCCAGGCTGAATCTTCATTCTGAATTTTTCACGCAGAGGGTAGTGGAGAAATGGAACGATCACCCTCAGTCAGTCGTGGAGGCTACGTCCGTGCAAATCTTCAAGAAACGCTTGGATGATTATTTGTGTCCCCTATTTTCCCTCGACAGTGTGAATCTGAACTAAGACCCCACGTCCCTACAAATAGTTTCTCTGAGACAATGCTTCTCAAATGAATCAAGTACTGTTTTAATAGTGAATATTTTTTGCTCGTGTACGGTTAGTTCTAACGAGCTTACATGTAATCAATAGGGTTTTCAAAGGCTTTGCCTATTATCCTTACCAAATAAACTGAATAAACTGAAACTGAAATCTTTTCGGAGTGAAAATTCGCCTCAATACGGAAAAAATAAAGCTCTGGCGCATGTTGCCAAAAGCCTGGGAGAAAAAACAAGTCCACTAACAGAAGTAGTGGGATCGTTCGAATTCGTAGAGGTCATGATTGTAGAAAGAAGGCAAACGGGCAGTATGCAAATAGAAAGTCCACAAATTAAAGGTATAAGCGTGAACGTCAAAGGGTCGCCACTGTCGCGAACGCTAAAGACAGAACCATCAATCCCAGACTATGAAGATCACGATAAGACCAGAGTTATGAAAGAATTAACTGTCAAAAGTCAAACGACCTGACAATCCAACTCGTGCCAAGCGCGTCACGTCGAGTTGTGTTCCTTCCATTCAGTTAAAAAACCAGCAAGTTCAAAAATGAGGAACAGGTAGGGAAAGGCAAGACAGTCTGGCGCCTCGGCACAAGCCTTCCCGCTCGCTAGTGTGATTTAAGCTCAAACATCTGCAGCATTTCAGAATCCTATAAACGACGGTGGATGGCATATTTTAATTCCCTTCACTGTCGGCATTGTTCTTTGGCCTTCTGAAATGCGATTCTCGCTGCGGCGGCTAGTTTATCATAACGTCAAGCACCTGAGTATGTCGGTTACATCTCATACATTGGACCGCACCGGAGTGCCGCTGGAAGAACGTCGCGTCGAGATTGGGGTTTAAAACGCGCTACCAAGCCCCACAAGCAAATATTGTCGCACAGCCCCACACAGGAGAACGTTGCGGCAGGGTTGGGCGAGGGCTCATACTACATCAGTTGTCGGTGCCCCATCTGACTTCCGGCTTTCTTGACTTCGTCTTAGCGACAGGACAGATGGACAAAGGGATGAAGAGTGCAGGAAGTGCAGCATAGTCTACCGTCACACTTAAATGTATGCACATAAGTCACAGTCCGTGTGCGCAATCTGCTGTGTGGTAGGCGGTGAACATAATCGGTTACGACGGTCGAAATGTCCTTTATCGGCTGTCGTTTTCGTAAGTCAACTTTGTATCATGTTAAATGTTCCTGACTTTGAAACATAAGTCCACTAATGCCTGCCCATTCAGATCACCATTGTGATCGAGTTTTAAACAGGGGCCGAGTGCGAATGTCTGCATACGTCGGTAGGGTTAATATTTTAGTAGACCGCAAGGTCTTAACTTGGCTGGTTGTTGCTTGGTTCATCCCAGCTTGATGATACAAATTATCAAGCCTAATTGCCCGGTCAAAAAGGTCTCAACGCAATCTTTTTTCAAATTGTAAACTGTCAGGTTGTTAGTTCAACTGAGATTTAAAACAGTTAAGCAATAATTTTAAGTTTTTTAAAATTCCTTTGAAAGGGATGTCAATTTGTCTATCCGCTATGGCGATTTTGACATATTTAAGGTATTCCCTGTGCCAAAAAGTCATCAACGAGGTTCCCAGCTTCACTCCTTTCTTTTTTCTTAAGTAATAATAGATTTTTTGCTAAGCCGCTTGTCCAAGGTAAAGACATCGTTGTGTTCGCAGGCCACTAAGCCATTCAATTTTATTGCCATTTCACATTTCGGCTCATACAGAAAAAAGATGAAAGCACTGATAGCCACTGATAATTCCTCAATGACGCGCAAACTATTTTTTTGTTATACAGGGAATGACAAAAATTACGCATGTTGGATAAACAAAGCTTACACCACTCCCGACCATTAAAACCTAACGATGAACTTATCTATCTGCAAGTTTTAAATGACACTTCATAAAGCGCCATGACTAAAGTCAAGTAATGACGCAGTTCAGATAGTCCACTATTTTTTCGACTATTCTATCGTGAAGTTTGTTATAATCGGTTGGTAAAAATGTTCATTTTAGTTTAACAGCTGTATAATGGCGATATTGGTTTTTGAGGTTTCTGAATCCGGGTAGTTCTTGTTGTCCGGACAGCTGGTTGTTGAGTCACAATACGTCGACTCCAGGGTGTGCGTCCTGTGACTAGTAAGCGGTATAATACCGACACTCCACCCTCTGAATATGACTACTTGTCGATATATGTGCGCGCGATCCCTCAGCATCGTGCTAATAGACATGCCGCCTTTTGTTTCAATAACACGAGTGAGGAGCCGTGTGCGCAGATCTAGATCGCCAGGTCGCGTTGCCGAACTTGGCTACCTTAACTGTGCGTGCGTATGTGAAGACTGCGGTGTCAAGGCTCGTCGACATTAGCGTAGATTATTCTCGATGAACGCATCTACAATTCCTTAGTTCCATATCCTTTTAAGTTTCCTGTTGGTGAGACTGTGGGTGGGGTGCATCCCATAGCCACGTGTGACTGCCAGATGTTTATGACTGCCAGATGCATCTGCCAGTGCCCATGGGCTCTTGATTCGAGGTTGTAGCATGTTAATAGCTCCGAAATAAGTCTATCAGTTAGCATTGCTAGTCACTAGCACTCCCGGCTTACCACTGAGCCACTTATGCCCTAAAACATTGCCAGTAGGCCGAGTAGTTAGATCCACTTTTCTGCGTGAAAAGTGCAGATAATGCGTTCCGAAAGTTTGGCCCCTTTTTAACCCCAACATGTTCTCGAATCCACGCCCCTTACTCGTGTGCTGTAGCTCCAGGTCTGCCCAAAACGTGTTGACTCAAGCGTCCGAGTGGATCCATTACAGGAACGACGGGATTAGCCTCACTAATTTATTCTCCGTGTTTGCCATGCCCTCTCGTTTTATAGTATGTCTATTGATTCGCGTGTGAGCTGTCTCTTGTTTTTATTGGTCGGTTGTCACCAAACTTAGGATTTGGGCACTGTCGGGAGAAAATTAATCGACATACAGATCCTTTGCGGTCTTCTGATCTTCTCGTGCTTATACTTCTAACTCTTTTTGATTTGTATTTCATGTTTTATAGTCCGCTAAGTCATGTCTACCGAACCTTTTACTTGGCCGTGGCAATATGACTTCCCACCCTTCTTCACTCTCCAACCGAATGCTGAAACACGCCGGAAGCAGATGGATGCCTGGTGTCAGCTTGTCCTTGCCTATTGCCAAAACAAAAAACTAACTTCAATAGACATAACGTCGATAACTGACCCAAAATGTGAACTGTTCCACAACGTTAAAATCGGTCGAAAAGCGAATCCTTCGATGGTGACGACCATTCTCGATGAGCTACACAACCGCGGAAATCTAGAGTGGCTAGATAGGTAAAATCCTCTCGCATAGTTTACATTTGCCTGTTTTCTCAACTTTTTTCATCACCGTAACTTTTCGGCTAGTCAGGGCGTATTTGTATTCACCTATAAACTTACGGGGCCCCAAACCTGACTGTTTAGTTATCGAGCATTTATTTCAGGCGCACTGCAATCGATCCACGGACGTGCACATGGATTGAGCGCCGTGGTTGGAGCGCCGTCTACACAATGTTTCTTGAAGGTCTTATCACTTACTCAACGTGGGCAGAAATACCATACAATGCCTTAGCGACAGTTGCTGCAGGTTCAATTGCTCCAAATCTACAATTCACGTTCTCCAAGTCTTTGGCAGTGCCCTGAGAAGTCGAGTCCAAATCGGCCTTAAAATCCACAAGAGACGCATTTTTTCTTGTATTTGGGGGCTATCTACGTCCTGTACTAATCTGACAGTCCCCTTGCTACTCATCTTCGATGCGCGTTGTTTTCCAAAGATTTCGCGCATTTGAAGGATGACTTCATCGAGAGGTAAAGATCAATTGCCTACTGATGCATGTGGTTCGTTCATGCCTCTTCCCCATCTTCCTGGAGAATAAGATAGATGACGGATATACGCCAAGCTGTCGACGTATCGTAAGTGACTTAAGGGTCTTAGCCACACGCATGAGGGGGCTTGCTGTGAAGCCTGCTTCGCCTTTGACATCTATCGTGAAATTTTTCAACTTTTTAATGAGAGTTCGGTTGATGGGCACTTTCGATAGGTCGCATAAATTCGGGTTTCCACTAAATCATTTTTCTCGGTTATATGTGTCAGTCACTGTTGCAAAAGATCTTTTTTTATCATTCAGACCGGTAACCACTAGTTTGCTTGTCTCCGAGTTTGTCTTACTTGATATAGGCAGCTCTGTGCCGTCACATTGCTGAGCTGTATTCTTTAGAGTTATTTGGATTCTCGCTATAGGAAATGAGCTTGTTTTGAATACACTGATTTCTCGAACATGTCGCTGCCAATAATAAACCACTTTGGCTGTGGCAAGTGCAAGATTTGTTGAACTATTTTCAACGACTTTCTTAAAATTAAATCATTCATTCATATCGGTCTTGTCGTCCCACCACCCTCGATTTCCAACTTCTCGGTCACGTTGTAGATGTCTCTTAGATCTCAAAACGGCACACTTATTTGTGTCGGATGACCAGGTGGCTTAGAGGATTCAACCTCACAGAGTCAAACAGGTGGAGTGTTAGAATCCTAGTCTATTCTATTTGGACTGCTAGCAAATTCCTTCTAGCCAAATGGTCCAACGTCATGCGATGCCCACTATAGCAATTTGCAAGTAGGACAGGTGCTAATAGCCTCTTGATCACATCGTAATATGTCTGCCGCACATGATACAATGCCAGTTGTTAGAAATATTTTTCTAGGTCCACGGCACTCCGTACTAAAATGGGCGATTGGAATGCTTTAAGAGTTTTGTAAAGAGACGCGGTAAAGGGTGCCCATGGCTGACGGATGTCACGAAGCGGGTCCCGGTGTTCTGTGTCACTTAATCTAGTGACCTCCGTGAAGGAGTCCGCCTAAAGTGAAGACGTTCTGGTTAACGTCAAGGCTCACATTCGATAAGATTAAATCCCCCACTCTATTATCTCATTTTTGAGCTTCCTCTCGTCAACTTGGGAATATTCTGTTTGCATGAAAACTTCCATTGGACCGTCCTTCTATCACCACATTTATTTCTATTCCTCAACCTTTGTCTACTGCATAAGATCACACAAGAGTGCCAACATTATTTGGAGGAAGCCAAGTGGCTGGGCTAAGGAGTTGGAGAAGTGGGTGAAAGCTACGGGTCGGAACAACACAGTATGCACAATTTACGAGATCATCGACGGTGAGGAGACTGAGGGCGAGACTTTCCATGGCATCGACAGGGATGTCATCATGGAAGCTCTTCGCTACATGGAGAAGCATGGTAAGGCCGAGGTCATTGGTGACTCGGAAGGCGTGAAATTTTTCTGCACTTGAACTCATCTCTGCTCTGACTGCTATCATCAGTGTCGTTAACAACATCAGCGACAGACTTTGCCCGTGTCTTTCAAACTGCACTTTATAAAAATCGTCCTCATGTGCTCGAGTTGCAGGTCTTTACATTAGGGAAATTAAATTTTCTCGCACGCCTACCTTCTGCAGTTCTGTGGTTTGATTTTCGTTGTATGCATTCCAGAAGCCCAGCATAACCATTAGTCACACAATCTGGTGAGCTGAAATTAGAACCCTTTTCAAGAGGGGCACGCTTTCCAGCTTGTTTTGCAATTTTCGAGTTGAAATTTATGTCTTTTCACTTGTCCGGGGAAATTTTAGGAAGCCAATTTAACCACAGTTTGGTGTCTGTGTTCTTTATGACGTGCTGATAACTCGCCCTCCTCAGTCGACGATCAGCAGCTTCGTCAGATCGTGTCTGTTGTTTGGATTATGGTTGAAGTGCGTCGGTAGTTTGTGTTACGGTGTATTTTAAGGTGCATTTTTGCGCGCTTGCAGTCTGGACAAGTCACATCGTCGTCCAAAATTTCCGTGTTTGGCCTACGAGTCGAGGTAGACATGAATCAGGTGGGGCAGTCCTTTTAGTATTATTTAGATTTTTCTCAATTCAGTGCCAGTTTATTCATCGGAAAAGACCCACCCAAGGTCGAAGCTATGTCAGAAGACAGTCGGAGTAACTCGGATATTCTTTGTGGTTCTTTAGTAACAAAGAGTAAGAGTTAGTAGGGTGGGGAATAAATTGAAAAGTGGTGCATTTGAGGTGATTAGACGAGCAGTCAGCGAATGAAACCAAAGTGTGGCGGTCGGATTAAAAGCGAGCGGCGACAAAGAACAATAGACGAACAAAGAACGACGAGAACCGACGAATAGGGGTACAGAATCAACGACAGTGGTATAAGTAGAGTCTGGTTACTAACAAACAGTTAGTAGCAAAGAAACAAGAATACAAGTTGACATCGGGTAGGTCACAAGTTCTACAAACGGGGCTCTGACCTTCGTGACTGAAATACATTGGTTTCTGATGGGGATACCGATCTAGATCAGAAGATAGTGTCACAGTTTAATCTCTTCCTCACACGATGCTTGGAGATTTATTACGGATTCGCCCAGTCATTAATGGCTAACTGATGCGGTAAGTTCACCGCACCTAAAATAGCCACCCTCTGTTGCAGTTCGTCGAAACCGGACTCTCGAGCGTAGTTGAATTAGTTGGATTCGGATAAGATGGTAGTCCGGACAATTCCACTTCCATATCGGTGCAGCCCATGACACAGGGATCTCAGTTGACAAGTAAGGAGGACAATCATCTGACCGAGTTCCTGTTAGATTATGCTGGAAGTGCATCCACTGGTCGGGCTGCGAGACATGCTCGTCCCGTTATGCTTTGGGGCTACATAATGACTGGTATTAGGAACACGATATTGCCGACAAATACAAGGTAGACAGGGATGACCACCTCTGCTTTGTCGGCCGTCGTCAGCTAGCCCTACCTCACCCCAGATTTGCAGTACCTGGGCCTCGATCCCGAGCTCTTTGGTTGACAAGCGTCATTAAGCTCAATGCCCTACCAACTGAGAAAGGGGCTTTCGTTGGAAACGCTTTTGGAAAGACATTCAGTGAATCTAGCTCAAGCGCAAGAAACCTCTCGCACCTGTGCAGAAGATTGTCTTTACAGAGGCCTCGTATACTCAGAACTGGGTTTTTAAATTGATATCACTCCCATTTAAGTAATGTTGGCGCGGTCGCGTAAAGGTTGTACGTCCGTTGGTCCACTGGTCAATTGCACCCGTATTTTGCCCGCCCGCCAGAAAATTCGACCCAAAGTGGCAGAGACCTGATCTGGCTCCGGAACTTCACTGTCTATCATAATGAGACAGATATATCCGAATGCGGAACCGGCGCAGTCACCTCCGTTTTGGACGAATTGATTTTCAACTCAACTCCCACCTGTTTTGTACCTGCCAGGGAGGCAGCACATTCCATTTCTGCCAAATAACCCACGCTCACTGCTACGTTACGGAAGTCAAGATCTATGACACTCGAACCACGGCCTGCTTGATCTGCCAGCACGTTCTGAGGAGCCCATCCCATTTACCTGTTAGACAGGAACAGTGAGAGAACGCAGCCCCGCAGGCTTGATAAGCGATATCAAAGATCCCTCTCCTCATCATTTACACGGACTGGGCCTTCCGTGATTGTAGGCCCGAACCAGATGAAACAACCGGCAACACACCGTTATGCACTATGATTGACCACGGAGAATCGCCATGGCCGGACACGATCGTGGGCCGTCGTCAACAGTGGTCGCCTCCGTGAGTTTGACGAATCGAGTTCTAGGTAACACATCCCTGCTTCGGCAGAACTCCGCGGACCGTTGCGCAAGTGGAAGACGCTGAAGATGGCTACGAGAAGGAGACTTGTGACGTGGTAACTTCTACGCACTGATACCATCTCTGTGGTGTGCGTGCATGGTTTCCGCTCCTTAGCGTCGTTCGAGGAAAGCGTGCAGTTGACCAGTTTACTGTCGAACAGCACCTGCCAGCACCAGTCTCGGCTGGCCGCACCTTGCCTCCGTGGCAAGAGGAAGCTATAAGGCGGCCAGATGTGACTTTCTGGCGTGGCTAATGCATGGCCTTTGACACGACAGCCAGGTTTGGTCGCACCATCCGGAAGAAAAGTGCGCGGCGGCGCTCCCCAGTCGTTTCCCCACCCCTTTCTGGCCTCGGTTTTGTATCCGCGAGGGCACTCATTCTAAAATGTCAGCTATCACAGTATCATTACATGTGTCATTGAATCCTCCCAGCCTCGGATAAAGCAAATCAGGGATAAACACCCCACGCGAGTGCACAACCGGACAACCAACTTAGCGTTAACTCTATCACACGACATAGGAATGAGGACAGACAATGGTTAGAAACGGCGGTTTATTGAGCATTTGCAAATGAAAGAAATCAGTGAAAAAATATAGGCAATCTGAATACCCTGTCGTCGCACAGACGCCCACTGCATACTGGGAACGGCGTGTGGTTCGCAATAAGCCTGCCCACATGGAAACACCTGCAGTTGTTCTAGTTAAATCTATGAAACAACATGCCAATCGCACCCGTAATAGCCATCGTGAGCTTTAACTCGCCGCACATAACTGCGAACAGGGCTGTCGCAAATGACATTGGCCAAGTTCACCTTCACGATATTTTCCGTATTCGGAATACGCAAACCACTGACTAGTATGTCATTCAGTTCGCCAACACAGTCGCCCAGGAAGTCATCCAACGGCTCAGGCTTGCCGGGACCGGAGACCACTCCAGCAATGAAGGGCTGACCAACATCCAGACGGCGAACACGAGCAAGAATTGACCACAAGCATTGATTAGATCCCTTGAAAGTCTTTATTCCGTCAATATGAAGTTGAATATGCATTTTAGGCACGGTCGTTGCCGGCAGATTGAGTAGTTGATCCAACAGAACATGCTCAAGACCTAAGTAGACGTAGTTGCCCTTGTTCAAGGGCTTGCTAATGAAGGTTCGAAGCGTTTGTATTAGCGTCCTTGGATTTTTGGATACTTCTGGGTGGTAGGACCACAGCATCCGAAACAACGTCTTTGTTGTTGATAGTGGCATTTGGGCCTCCAATCAGAAATCCCGTAAGTCCGCCAAAAAAGCACTTGCCAACGACCGCGTTCTCGCTTATGTCTACGGGTCCTAAAATTTCTAGTGAGTAACACAGTAAGATGCCTACGCGTACAAACTTCCGGGACTAGTTCGGGCATTTCTAATTACGTTGGTTGGTCTACCACCGACGACGTAGACAGAACGAAGGGGTCCTTCATCCGCGCATACTATGCAGTCTCTTCACGTGCAATCCGCTGGTAAATTGCGCGTTGATGGAAGCCGTAATGCTTGTGTTTCATGATTGCTTTCATTTATGGATAAAATCAACATACAATAAGTTTAACCGCATTTTAAACATTCACTAGGAGATTAGAGTTACTATTAAATTAATACACCTACTTTCCACCTAAATAATGTAAAATATATTACTAATGGCGTAAGTATGACCGAAAAGGCGTGACAGACATGAAATCGACGTGGAACGATGTACCGCTTCGTCACGAGCGTCCGGACGATAGTGAGACTGCAGTAATCATGCTCGGCAGAGCAGCAGGTAAATGGCATCCAAGTGGCTCAACTAAACAAAAAACGTCCTAATCGGTTCGTCCAGGCACATTATCTTCCCCCAAGAAATGGGGTCTCAGGGCACTTTCTGGGTGAATTAACGTATGTTTAGGTAAATGCGGAACATTCAAACGCAAAAAATCTCGTTTAAGCGATTGAAATGCCCCTTGAAATTTCTCTAAATATGGCGTGGCCGTGGCCGGGTCCATCCACGCTTGGCCACACCCGCAAGGCGGGGCCATGTGTTGACAGGGGCACTTGCAACTTTCCGCTGAGGCCAGTCCTCGTGCCTTTTGCGCCTGTAGATGATGGACTTTTAAGTGGACTTCGAAACTGCTGATAAATGGCAGGAGGGAATTACTCGAGCATTCCTATCCGGCGTTTTGGTGATCATCTAGACTTCCGCCAAGGAAAGTGACGCACAACGATTCAGCTGCCTCGTGTTCGCATCCTCGTCTGGTTGACGTGAACTTATCGCGAAAACGAATATTATTGTTGATACTGATTCAATTCAGACTAGACGCGTTTGCAATCAAGACTGGGCGGTTGCCTATAGTCAGTCAGTTGGATGTAACTGCGGCCTAGGCGCCCACTTGATGACTTGTTCTAGAAGTGCTGGAGCCTGTGAGTACGTCACCATTAGCAAAGCACCGGCGGCCGACACACGCTGACCTAACTTCTTTCCGTTCCACACAAAGGTGAGATTTACATCCTGAAGAACCGAGACCTGTGGGCGTCCTTTCAAAAAAGTGTTTTTCTTTCGACGCATACAGTAACTTTATCCAACCAACTCCCTCACTAACTGCCCTTTTATATCGGACTATGTTTGCTTGGGTACCTTCGCAGTCTCGGACGGTACCTGCCACCCAAGAGCTACGACTCAAGTTACTTCCTTGGAAGGGTAGCATTTGTCCTTAGAGCTATTGTATGAAAACGCACTGCTATATGAAGACTGAGAAAACTGCCTTGCACACTGCATCTGCGCTAAACAGCCGTTTGTTAATAATAATTAACAACTGAACAACCATGGTTGGGCCGTAGTTTTTATAACTGCAATCGAAGAAAAAATACATCAGCTCTCCTAAGATAACTGTTCGAAGTGCAAACACAGACCCGACCACAATCAGGGTATGCTATATGTGGGTGTTCGTCTGTGTACCGCCTGCCTCATGTCAGCTAATCCATACTGTCCAATGCGTCGAAGTCCTTCGGAGCAAGCATGGTCCTTCTCACCAATGATTCAAGTTTAAATAGCTGGCATAGGCAAGTTAAACTAGGATGGTCCTTATGGTCGACTTATCCTTGCCAGCGCGCGGTACTAGAAGGGTACACGCGGCTGCGAAAACAGGCGATGGTTCATGAGAAAAGTAGACTTTGATCAGGTCTGCCACAGTCGACGCGTTTGTCTCCAAACTGCCAGCTCTGCGCATGCAATAGCGTGAGCGGCCTAACAAATCGAAGTCGCTAAGTTTCCCTTCATTACTGCGGCTCAAATCATTGCGAGGGAGGCATGCCGGTGAAAATTGTAGTTACTAGACTTTTGGCTGAAGTGTAGAGGACGCATCTGTTTTGGAGTGTTCTAGACCACAGGGAAGAAGCTGACATTCAATAAAGCGAAGTACCGCCCTCGAGTTTACAGGGAACCGGCTAAACTGACGAACGGCCTGCTACTTGGACATCAGTAAATAGTGTGCTTTGTAAAGGATAGGTGCCAGTACAGATTATGCACGGGCGATTCTTGGCAGAAGGCTTGCTTAGCTATTAGTGAAAAAAAATGACATGAGGCGCTATCTGTCGTCTTACATGGACAGGCTTTTGCTAAAAGCTACAACGCTTTATCCACATAGATTGCAAGTCGAAACATTTAGTCGTATTGCTGCCGCGACACAATACGATGTCAACTAATTTAAGGGAGTGGAGGTTGAGTCGTCCGGAGCAGTTTTCAGTCAGTGCTCCAAATTTGCCCTGAAATTTATGCTAGTTATATGGTTCGAATAAATGTACGCTCAACTGAATGAACTGGGTGGTCCGGTTGGCCAAGCTAAGCGAGAGCTACCAAACTCGCTTCGCAGTTGATAAGGAACATATCCAAAAAGCAATTTGACGAGCAAACATCTGCTTTCAGTATATTCTCTTCAAGCCTGTACATTTATGTGACTATTGAAATAATAAATCAAAAGATACGGACAAATAGATAATTATGCTGTAGCTCGGGTTTTGGGAGGGGTGGGGGTGGGGAGTGAAACACCAAAATTCCAGTCAGCGCCGTGGAGAAGGTGGGCCCCGGGAAAGGCAATTATATGCGGGTGGCTGGCTTGGTGGCTTTGAATCATGTTAACTCTGGGACCTATTTGAAGTTCTTCTGTGCGCATAGGACCGGTTCGCGTTACCTAATTGTGGCTGCCTCTGCCGTGGCCAACAGGCGCTGCACAAGTAGTCTTGAATAGCTTGATGGGACCTTGTAAATCACACTGAAGGCCTCCCTAGCGTCTACACGGTAGTCTATTAAAAACGATCAACGTGTACCTACGATTCAGTATCGAGCTTGCGGAGGCGAAATTACGAGCCAGGTTTATTATGGATTGCCTCGAGGAAGACGAATACCCGAACTCCTACTGGCGAGCAGTGCGACGGCGTCGTACGCTTATCGCCTGTGATACCTTGAGAAGATATGCCGAAAATGGACTAGAGAGCACGCGCACAAAGGTGAAGGAGCTAGGGCGTCAGGTGTGTCAACGGTCAGCCATACTCGACCAACTGGGCAAAGACGAGAGACAGGAATTCGAGAATAATGAGCAATCCATTTCGGATAAACGTAGAGAAATCGAGATGGTTTCTCTCCATCGGAATATTCACGTAGACAGACCACGATCGAAGATTCCTGAAGATCCAAGTCAGAATGTACACAGTTATTCGTCCATATCTCTCGATGAAACATAGATCGAAGCCTTATCGCTGGGTCCTAAGTTCTTCTGTCCTTTCCAGAAACCCAACCAGTTAGAGTTAGAAGCACAGTTGGAGAACCTTTTTAATCAAATACATGACCTACAGCCAGTCTCGACAGAGTGTACAACATCTTAGGACCACGTTAGTCAACTGCTCTTATCAATACCTGAATAGTGGTCTGAAATATCAGGACTTGCTGACGGAGTCACAGACGGAGGAACTAAAGAAACTCCGGCAGAACAAAGATATTCTGATAACTAGGCCAGATAGGGAAAATAGCGTTGTTTTGATGGACAGGGCGGACTACAGTCGGATCAGGAAAAGTTCAGAAAGAGAAAAAGAGAAGGATCTTACAGCTGAGATTGAAGCATAACTGACTGACTGCTTCAAAAGTCTTCAGGCGGATGGTTGCATAAGCGAACACGACGTAGAGCGCACCCGACCCGTCGGCACGCATATACCTCGGCTATACGGTTTGCCGAAGATCCACAAGATTCACACTCTGATGTGGAAAAGCAAGATGGTGTTCTCGCATCCCCGTTGATATGCGCCTAGTTCGACCAACATTACCTGTCCCATGAGAGCAAGCAAAGGCGTAGATGCACACTGAAGAGGTCTAGAAAGGTAGTCTATCCCTACCTTCAAAGCAAAGAAGCGGAGTGCTTGTAAAAAACTAGTTTTATCCTCTCCGCTGGGTGCGCGCGCGCGACAGTAGCGTTTAGGCGACGATGCAGAAGCCAGCTCGCCGGATTCCCTCGAAATGGCACTGTGAGAAATAACATTTTCTCAGTTGTCGACATATCAGATTTTAGAGCGCATTCTTCCATATATTTGTTGGTTAACTTTTCGGGACAACCGTTTTTCCTCAAAGTGTTTTGTATAATGGCGAGCTCATTCTCAAGCGTACCTAGAGCGCATATTCTCCTAGCTCGGTTGGTGAGGTAGCGAACTAAACTTCGTTTTTTGCTCAGCGGAAGAAAACTGTAGAAATGTGTGTATTGCACTGTATTTTTCTTACGTAATACACTTCTACCGATTGTTCTATCCGACATTCGATTAAGTAGGAAGTCTAGAAGGGATACACTCCGTTCTCTTGCTCCAAGGTGAAGGTTAACGCTAGGCGATTCGTCTTACACAGTTAGGTGTTCAGATCTCTCTTTGCATCTGCCATTACAAAAATGACATGAACATATCGAGCATGAGAATAAAGGTCTTTTATAATTGGGTAGAGTTGGTTTTTCTCTAGTTTTCTCATGAAGACATCGGCTACTTAAGGTCGAAGGGGTGATACTATCGCTACACCACCGATCTGGCCGAAAATTTTACCACTGAATGTGGCTTGGATATTTAACGTTTAGTGGAAGAGCAATTCTTTTAGATCTCGACCGGCAACCCGATTGAAAATCTCGTCACACAAAACTCTATCGCTTCTGTGGGAGGAATGCTAACGAACAAAGATGCGATGTATAGGGATATCATTATTTTCCCACGGGGATTTGTATGTCATATGGAATGGATTTATATGTGTCCCATAAGGTAGGCGGCTCTATTCGGCTTAAGCCTTCCTGCCAGCCACTGCAATTGGGTGAATCATTCATGTAGAGTATCGGCTGCATTGGAAGGTCTGGCTTATGAATCTTTGGTAAATCATATAGCCATGGGGTATTGTGCCTGTAGGTTTAAGAACTTTGAACTCTTGTTCACTAAGAAAACCCTGGCCTTTCAATTTGCGACGGCATCTTGTAATTTGGACTTCTGAACTCTCTGTTTGGTTCTTATTTTTCCACCCAGTCACCACCACCACCACCACCACCACCACCACCACCACCACCACCATCATCATCCTCATCATCATCATCAGCCAGGATTGGTTCCATAGTTGAAACATCAGCACTTTTATTCATTAAATCGAGATCAGAGCCTTCGTCCGGCTTGGTAACCAGTGTTTCCTTGCTTTGACTTTATTATTTGAGTTACTCCGATTTTCTTTCGTGATATGCCCGATTCTTGATGGCTTCGCCCTGAGATATTGGTAGCAAATGTTCACGAGCGTTGATTTGAAATGCTCCGTTTCCCCCGGGCGTTGTATGTACTAGATCGTACGCCTAACTTAACGGGTTTCCAAACTGGACTTCTGCCACTAGTCTGTTTGGTCTTTGACTAGTAAAACAAAACTTGTAGCCTAAGGATAGTACCTCAGATAAGCATTTGACTGACGCCAAGTTAGTGAAATTATGTACGTACTACCCCGGAGCATATAGAAAGTTGCATGTGCGTGCATCGGGTTGACACAGCGAAGAAGCCTTATTCGTTCTTATTTCATCCGTCTTTTGGTCACTGTCTCGACATAGCTGCTAACTTATCCTCGTTTTTCTTCGGTTAGTCCGTCTAACATCGCCATGTCTTGATGAAAATTGCGGTATAGCTCGCTGGTCTTCATTTCGACGCCTTCAGGTCAGTTCCCAGCATATCTCTTCAAAGTTGTTTTGGACATAGTCGTCCGGTTCTTACGATGCGCATTCCAATATTCGCGTTGATACCCACCTTCCTGATAAAATCAGGAAGCGCGCTCGCTTTGGCAAGGCGTGTTTTATAACGTAAGTACTCACTGAGTACCTTGAACACAGATGGATCCTTGGATTGTTTATGTTCAGCGATGATATCCATGTTAACAGTTAAGAAGTCAAGTCCGGCAAGCGTGTGCTTTCGATTTTTCATTATCAGATCTGCACAATATTATAAGCAAGAGTAGAACAGCGGAAGCTAATAAGCTAGTACAGTTCAGTATGGGGGCGAGAGGATTGAGGGGCGTCCAGAGGTCAGGGGTTAGAGTCTAGTTCTGGTAGAGAGGCGCACACCGATCGCGTTACGGAACTCACTCGTCCCGTTGTGCCTTAGGGCTCTCTCTGGGTCTGGCTGGCTAATGACGGCTAGTAAGCCAGAAATGACCACCCCAGTCTCCCTTGTCTTGGTCGATAATGCTATACTGCCTATATCACGCGCCTAATGTGCATTCTGAGATGATATATTGAAAAAAGAAGACCCGTTGGAGAATCAAATTGTACTTGCGAATTTTCAACCTGTTTACAGCGATCTGCTGTCAGACGAAATTAATAGTGAGGAGTGCGATAACTGCACTAGAGGACTTAGGAACACAATGACACACGACGTCCTATGAGGGGGTGATTTAACGAGTTTCGGATGTGGTTTGCCAATATTAGGGCTACTTGCAGAATTAGTCTTACGAGGAGTAGCTGAGGGCGTTCTGTGGACATTTCGGCCAAAAATCTGGCTCATATACGTGGATAACGCATTCGGTATCATAAAAATCCGCGAACTCCAGCAATTTCACCAGGGGCAGAATCGCACCATCCCACCTCTATGATTTACTCGCCAAGAAACAAGAGGCAATATCTTACCGCTCCTAGACGTGAGTATACACAAACTCGGTGATGGCGGTCACGCAACAAGCTTTTCCTGTAAATGTTCAAATACCGAAGTCCTCCCTAACTATGAGGGCAACCACTCTGCGACACATAAAATAAGCTGTGCCCGAATCCTTTTCCGCGGAGCCTATCGTTATTGCGTTAGAGATGCTTTACTAGAGAAAGATAAGGATAATAGGCAAAGCCTTTTAAAACCCTATTGATTAAATGTCAGCTCGTTAGAAATAATTGTACACGAACAACGAAAATATTCGCTATTAAAACGGTACTTGACTAATTTAAGTAGCATTGCCTCAGAGAACAAATGGGGGGTCGCGGGGTACTTAGTTCAGTTCAGAATACTGAGGGAAAAAACGGGAACACAAATTATCATCCAAGCGTTTCTTGAAGAGATGCAGAGGCTTCGTCTCCAGGACTGACTGAGTGAGGTCGTTCCATTTCCCCACTACCCTTTGGGTGAAAAATTCAGAACGAAGATTCAGCCTGATAATTGTTGACCGTAGCTTCGTCGAGTGACCATGAAGGTAGGGTGAAAGGTGCCACTGAAACATGTCCTCAAATTTAAGTCCATGCTCAAGGCCATGTATTATCTTGTAGACGAGGATAGGATCACCTCTTTGCTGCCTGTAACACAGAGGGAATAAATCAAGGAAATTCAGTCTGTATGTGTAGGACTGGTTTTTTAGACAGTTTGTCAGCTAGTGCACGACGTTGTACCTGTTCGCGGCATGCTTGATCCTTTACTAGCCATGGCCGCCATACTTATAGGCCTTATTCTAAGCGAGACCGAACAAAGGTGCCGTAAACTCTCCCAAAAAGGTCTTGTCAAAGGTTACAAACGCCATTTTGATTGCATGGAGCACTCACTTGACGTTTTTTGCAGCCTTGTTGCACTTTAGTGTTGGTTTCAGGTTGTTCTGTATCCAACCCCCGAGATCCCTATGTGCAGATTCCGCAGGGAGTCTTATACCCTTCAGGTGATATGTCCTCAGTTTCTCATTAGAATGAAAATTGGTTGGACGCATATGAAGGACGGCATACTTCTGTACATTGAAATTTAGAAGCCATTTCTCCAACCACGCTTGCAGTCGATGCAGATTGTTTTGAAGGGTTCTCTGGTCATAAGGACTTTTAACGACCTGCCGGAGTTTAACGTCATCGGCAGACATTATTTTGTCACAGTAGAGTTTTCGAAGGCTGTCATTAACATAAAGGATGAAAAGCAATGGGCCCAGAACTGAGCCCTGAGACACACCACTGGTCAGGTTCGCCCATTCTGACATATCATCTCCGGTACAGACACGTTGCCTCCGACCAACCAGAAACTCCGTTATCCAGTTCAGAAGATCTCCCCGGATGCCGATGGCGCTCAATTTGTGAAGAAGGCGTTGGTGCGGAACAGTATCAAAAGCTTTGCAGAAATCAATTTACACGACATCGACCTCAGACCCCTCTTCTAGAGGCCTGGTCCAGATCTCCAGACAAGCTGGCATATTTGAGAGGCAGGAAAATCCTGCAAGATGTTATTTTCTTCACTGGCTTTTCTAGCTCAAAGGACACTCGATCGGTTTTCTGAAAAACTATGTCAAACCTATGTAGATACTATTAGCTGTCAGCCGACAGTTTATGAATATTACGCGGCTATTTCGCTGTAGCTGATGGACGTCGGTCCAAATATTCATCATATTTCAGTCTGGGTCTGAAGGTCTTAAATTGACAGATTTGCCCCAAGCTGGCGATTCATTTCCGAGGAAATAAAAGGCTGCAATTTTAAAAAAGGAATATCTGTCAAAAACCACTCTGGGAACGATGGGGTCCACTGATAAGCCGAACTGCTCGCAGCTGTGTAATGCAGCAGCAGAATATCGGCGAAACACGTGTCCGAGCTTTTAGTTAGTATACGTGTTGTCAGATGTGGCATATCGTGCAACCGATGTGTATGTGTGCCTATATATACTGTATAATAACTTTAACATATATATGTATACACAGTAGGTTGTCTAACTGATGAAAGGTGTTGAAATATACCAATGATTTTCAGTCACTCGTAAACTGACACCAATGCATGAACCCGATATCTATTTTAATAAGTAGAAACTTTAAGGAAATTAAAAACATAAAAGAAATATTAAGGGTAATTTTACATTGTCCAGGAATACCGATTTTCTAGAAGGTCAGAATATTTCGAAAACATCAAAAACCATTGTAACTGTCCAGACTTCAGTTTTATATGTACAGAAAGCCCGTCCATTCTAAGCACTGTGTAAATATGACAGAACAAATAGGATAACCTCTTAAATAATCTTTAAGTTAAGTTCATATTAAATTTCCCTTGAGAATTAAGGTAATATCAGCTATGGTGGTTTGGCAACAGCCTACACCCTGAGTATAGATCCCTCAACAGTTTCCCGAAGATTCGTTGTATGCCTTTCGCTGCTGAACTGATTAAGATGCGATCCAGCAGGCAAATAGGATTTCGCTTAATTTCGTCAGTAGGGACATCATAAGGACAAAAGTTTTCATTTGGGCGCATGTTGCCAGGCGGGTCAGTGACTACCAACTTTAAATAGACGTGACAAGTGTAATCGTGCACATACCATTTTGTGCATATAACGAGAAGTTTTCTTCCGTCAAATTAGTCTACACTTTTCGTTTGGTGCGGATTATGCAGAGTTTCAGATCGGCTTTGATATCGCTGAATATTTCACAATTTTTTTAATGTTTTCAACCGATTTCCCATAAAGGTAGATAGCGTATTATGCGTTAATTAAATCCTTCAGATGAAGACACTTGTTGAAGGCATTTACTGAGGCAGTGGGTGCTCAGGCGTTTTCTATTTAGAAGGTCGTTTGGGCCACATTTGAATACCCCCCAAAACATGAAACCTCATTGTCGAATAAAATGAACTTTCACAATAAAAGCCAACAACTAATATGCTTTCTGTCAATTAAAAAGTCTCCTCTAATGAGTGGCCTTCTTCGAGTGGCCTTTTTGACGGATGTATTTGTACTTTACATTTTTACACAGTAAAGCCAAGAAAAAAAAATTTGGCTTTTTCTGTTACGTTGTCAAAAGTGTTGATGTTTGTCTACCGCAGACAGAGAACATGCCTTTCTGTTTGCATTACGTCTATTTTCGTCATCTTGTCTCACTTGTAGGCTGCGTTCTACGACTGTGAATGCATGGCAGGGAGGTCTTTGAAAGGTCGACATTTTGTCGAAGCTGCTAACGTTGTTCGTTCCATTGCTAAGTTACGCCCACGCAGAAAGTAAACCACATGAAAAGTAAGGTTTCCTATTTTCAAGACCGAAAATGACTATTGGGTGGTAATCATTTCGGTGTCAAAACATAGAAGTTTCCAAATGACAAAGCAATTTCGGCCCATTGCCAGTGGGCGTTATTACTGCACTTTAGGGCACGGAGTCTCACAGATTTGCCATTATAACTTTCAAAAATTGGCGAAACGTCTGGTTCTCTAAAAATAATTTGTATGTTAGCAAGCTGATTCCCATGGTTGGTATCAGAGAAAAAATCAATTTTCAGGTGCGGCAAAGTCTGCCCTATCAAAGAAAAGCACGCTAAGATGCGCAAGTAAAATCTACAACAGGTATTATCATAGGAAATTTTCCGACCGTATCGCAACGTATATTTTCGCTTAAATGTACGAGCAATTTGCTTGATGAAATTGTGTAGGCACATTTTCTGCACGTGAATAGAACGTTTCCTTGAAGAGTGTGGACGAGAGAGAAAAATTCGCGACGTTTAAGACGTCCGAAAATACTTACAGCAGTTTTCGTCATCAGGTTTAGTGAGATAGGTCACGTAATCTATATATCAGTAATGTCATTCTGCCTATATATATGGCCTAAAGGTCTGAAAGCGTCTGACATGCCAGGATCAACAAACCATGGCCCTCGCAACCTGGTATGCGCTTGCGCTCCTGCTGGGTATACAGGTCACGAGCAAAGTTGCCTAGTCATCCTTGTCTCTCCGCTGCTGTCGTTGTCGTTGATAACGATGTTATTGGTCAAAATCCTTGTCGTTTGCTGTGGAGACCAGGGGCTGGGGAGTGGAGCGCCAAGGTGCGGGCTAGGACGTGCCGTCCATCTGCGCCCTTCCCCGCCGTCGGTCTTCTTAGCTGTCTTAACTCCGGGCCAAGCTGAGGAAGGGGAGTGTGGTAGGTACCGTGCAAGTCTACTACCACCGTAAACTAACTCACGCACAAGTCACCGTGCCTACTGCACATTGCCGTGGAGCACACGATGAACATAGAAATGACGATCGAACTGCCATATGTATATGCATGTATATGGGCAGAGTGACAATGCTGACTAAGAAGAGGAAGACTGGAATGACCATTTCTGGCTTATCAGCCGTTGTCAGCCAGTCATACCCAGCCCCGAAGTTTGGAACACCTGGAGCTCGATCCCGCGACCTGGTAGTTAGAAGTTCATCGCTACACAACTAACAAGACAGAGAACCCTTGGTTTGGTGTTTATTGGCGTTGGACTTCAAATCAACGGGTTGGGGATCGAGTCCCAAGTGTTCCACACCTCGGGGTTGGGTATGACTGGCTGGCCATGGCTAATAGACAAGAAATGATTATTCCATTCTGCCTTGTCTTAGTCAGTAGTGTTACGTTGCCTATATTACGCGCCGCCGTGCGGCTGCTGGCTAGGATCGAGAGAGAGAGAGCCCCAAGGTAAAACGGAACGAATGAGTTCCGTAACACGGTCGGCTAGCGCCTGTCTACCATGTTAAACTGCTACTCAGCGGACGGCGGCTACAACCGAATAAAAATGTCATTTAAACGCGTGCCAGGAAAGCATTCCAGACCGGACCTGGAAAGCGAGGGCATTTGTCGGGAATGGAATGCCTAATAAAACGAGCTAAAATCACAACCAGGAGCACTGCCTTGATTTGCCGAACAGGTGCATAAAGAATAATTTACCAGGTAGTAGTGGGCGTCACAACGAAGTTAGAACGAACTAAATGTTTTTGTCCTTCCACATAGAACCCATGTTAGAGCCTAGAGTGGACGGCGTTATTCACACATGTCCGACTAAATTTGGCTCACCCAGTCTTGCACGAGAAACTTGAAGAACCATACGGCGAGATTCGAAGCCCACTTAAAATTTAGCACCTCATGAGGCTGTTCGAATTTTGACAAAAACTTGGCAGTTGTCCTGCAAATGTGAGTAACCAATAGTACTCAAACTATTTCTGGTTGTGTGCTGTTGCATTAAGGCTCATTCTAAGCAGATTTAAAACGCTAGCCAAGATTAGTCTTAGACGGTTAGCTATGATGCACATTTAAAAGTTTGCAGCCTGTGGAAAATGCATGTAACTCGTTGAGAAGAGATTTAACCTAATAAAGGTGTATGTAGCTGGACTTTTATCGATCTGAGCTAATATAAGCTACAGGGCGAACATCACTGTCCGCTAGAGCATTCATATAGCTAGTTATCTTTGAAAGAAAAAGTAAAAGAAAGTATTAAAAGTCCCACAGAGGATTAAGCATAAGGAGTGATGCACTCAGGGCACGTACTTAGTTCTATACGATAGATGGAAAAATCTATTAAGCAGTAGCCTGACACTCAACAGTATACCCTTCATAAAATCAGTTTGTCATCCAAAACCTATAGTTCGCGTCTTAAAATCGGCCAGTCCCACTTTCAATGCTTATTTTTCATTTATTTTCGGTCTTAAGTGAGGCTTAAAAAATTCAACACTTTCTCCGAGGGCACTTAACGAATGAATCTTTTAGGGATTCTGCTCTATTTTCATAAACACTCATTTTCTTCCATTTTCTTTAAAAAAAACATAAAATTTTCCGAACATCGATAATTCATATTTCTACCGCCACTTAGGGTGCGCCAAAGCCACGTTCTTGCATGAAGGCGTAAACAGCCAAAAGAGGGACCAAAGTACCATGGCTCAAAGGCTAGCGGATCTGGAAGCAAATTGTGGGGTAGGGCCGTGTAATCGCAGGCAGCCCATCCCTTCTAAAAGCCTAAACAGAACTTTAAAATGGGCAAGTAGTAAAAAAAGCCCGCTAAGTCAGTTAATGCAGTTTTTTAATTACTTCAAATGGCTGTTCTTATTTGGAATTGGTCTCAACTTAGATTGTGCTGACAAAGGTATTGGATTATGAATCTGGATAAAATCCCGGCTAATCACAAGAGGCACACGTTTAATGCAAAGAGTGAACCCTAATTAAGACCATCTAATTGTATGTCTGTGGACTCTAAATGGTTGGTTTGATGACTTTTCACAAGTAGGGTAATTTGCCTAGGACTACGAATCCGCCTTCTGTAGAAAAGTACATTATGAAAAATAACTTGTGCGTCGTATAACTTACTTTGTTCACCAGGGAAGTGTCATACTAGAGGGGTTATGAGGTATTGTCATCCAGGTGTCAAGGTAATAAAAACAAGATCAAAAGATGGTGGCGGCAAGAATTTGCCAAAGACAAGGGGAAGAGGACTACGAACGGAAGCATAGCCTGTTGCAATGAATACGCAGCTCTCGCCTTAGTAATCGGCTTTCGCAACGGCAATTGACCACTAGAGTTAATTTTATGATCTACCTTAAATCGGATTGGGCAGTCCTTAGCTCGGGGTGGAAACTATAAGCTCGGTGGGATCAAGCCACTTTAAGCATATCCGTAGGCGAAGGTGAAAAGAGCACGTATTACTTACCTTACTACCACCTTTTCGATGCCATTTTAAAATCACAATTTTATTCCTAAGAGCAGTAGGCTAACCAAAACTTGAAGTTTCAAAGAGCCTACGTTTTTGATGAACAGACATACGGGTTTTATATTGGCATCAGAGAAAATATACAGTTGTTTCCAAAAATTGTGTTCACAATAAAGGCAAACTTAATTATACTTATGTTACTTAGATTACTGGTTGTTCAATTCAACTCGTGCGACCGATACTACCAGGGTCCCGTTTTTCCTGTGTGTTATCAGTTCTTACACTTTGGGCTCTTAGGCGGAAAGTACCAGGACCAAAAACTATATTGATCCTCCCTTATGATGGTGAGCCCCAAAGGCGGAATTCACAGACTCATTCCTCAGCAATGGGAGTTTTGTAGTTTATGGAAATATTTCCATAATTTACATTCTTATCTTTAAGTGTTGACTAACCTCATTAAAGCTGCAATTCTGTTGCCTATGTGCGTAACTTAATTGAGTGTGCAACCTGGTTTCAGATTATTTTAAAGACGACAGTACGTTGGGATTTGCGTCAATACTGGTCGGCTCGACTAACACAATAAAGTTACTCAAAGGGGACAAAAGAGTTCAAAATAAAGTTTTTGGGTTGTCTAAGTCTAAGTGACTGAAGGCGGCACGCAAACCAGAGACTGCCATTTCGGTCTCGCTTGTCTTCGCAATTATGTATTTCCGAACTTTTATTACTTCTCAATATTTAGATGTACTTTTTGGTTGCGGTGTGCACGCGGAAACTAACAAGTGAATGGCTGCCACAAGGCGGCTGAATGATATTCATTCTTGCTGCCGGGCCTCAAGTCTCTCACATCCTTCGCAAACTCCCCGTCGGTGAGTGTTGCCCATCGGAATACCGTGCGAGGGGCCGCGTCAAAAGGAAATATTTTCACACTCTTTACAAGCATGGCAAGCCCAACTGTGACTATTCTCAACCAACTAAAGGTCGCTCGAAAGTAATTGGTTTTGAATGCAGAAAACATGCGAACGTCTTCTGGAAACGAGAGGCTGCTGCACGACATCATGATTCGATATCAAACCCTGACCACAGGTCTGCTGTTGGTGCCACTCCTTAAGCCGTCTAGAAGCCAAACAGTGACTTCTTGCATGCTTTCGGTGGCCGCAAGATTATAGGGCATTCAATCATTCTTACTGATCCATGCCACTGGAGAACCTCTCAGCAAACTTGCTTGACGCAACGATGCACTCTTAACCGTAACCTGTCTTACTTTATGATTGCATGGTATAGCATCCTCCTGGAAGCTTACCACACAGCTGGTTTAAGGTAATTACAGATGGGGGTCCCAGCATGTCAGTGTGGTGCCCCTGTTAGTTGACTTCAACAACAAAATTCTCTGATTAAGACCATCAAATATTTCATCATTTCCATTTATCGCCTCTACAGAAAAATCGACTTTTCGAAGACTGCACCGACAGTGACGGGAGAGTTGCGGATCGATATTTTGTAAGTGGATTCCTGACCTTTCCGTCGGCGCAGCATCACACGTTGATTGCAGGAAAACGACTCGATTAATTACCATAGCGTGGAGCTCACACTGTGCTGTGTGGAGTGTCTAGGACATTAAGCAACTTTTAAATGCTAAAGTTATCAAGTTCAGCCGGACTAGCAGAACATGAAAGACAAATACATGAAGAGTTTATTCTGTACAGAAAGTTAACCTACAATTCCAAACAGTAGCGACTGCTGTCAAGGATGCGGTGTTAGTCAATAGTGCTTAATGAAGCCAGATAGAGAAAGACTTCATTATTTCGGCTGCTCTGATGTGTTTGAGAGACAAGTTCGGGATGATGAGTGCAAGTGGTGTATCATACTGCGCGAAACAAGAACGGCCTTTATTATTTGCGTTCTCATGCCCGTCCGTGGAGCATTTGGCTAGACTGAAACGTTGGCTCGTAAAGAAATCTTCATAATGATAACTATGGAGCGGGTACTTTGATGAAAGACAGTGGACGGCGCGAGAGTGTTGGTCGGCCAAATGCTCGCAAACAAGTTGTTTTTATTTGGCGGCGCTACGACGCAGAGTGATGTGATACTTGCGCAGTTTCGGACGGAAATCCCAGAGGATCGTTAATGCAGATGAGGGGAGGAGGGCTGCCACGCAAGACTGCGCAGATTTCATAGTGTCCTGGACCATGGGGTAGCCGACTGCATAAGATTTATTGGTTATTGTTGTCAGACCTCGTTCCTACTGACTAGCCTGTCCAACTTTATCATTACAGCCAAAGAGTGGCAATGAGTAACCAGACAAACTAACATATGTCCACCCTATCTCAGGTTACCGACAGATTGTGCGTCCGAAAACAAACCTCTCCAGAGCAAATGACACTTCAATAAGATTGCGTTTATCGTCATATGATGGATAACACTAATGAAAAATGTCGGCTATTTTCAAGCCAGACCTGCAAAACGCGAAGGAATCTCAGAACAAAAAAGAAGTAAGGACAGACGGACGGCGTATTACTCATAATCATCTCTGCATCTCGTCCACACCACGGCACCATTACTGTGAGGAAATACAACATTCACAATAATCATTTAAAGAAGCGGTGTGCATATTTTTAACGCCGAAATAATAATAACGAAAATGTAGACGAAGGTAAGTGACGTACGAATACTTATGACAGTTGAGCGGTTTAGGCCGTTCTCGAGAACGGAAAAACCAGAAGCCTTCGTTTGCCGCATTCCTTGAGAGCACATGGGTGCTTACTTCAGAGGGCCGGGGACTGGTCGTTGCACATAGACTTGACACAGTAGTTAGAAGTTAAACTAGAAGGTTCAGAAACTTGTCGTCACCAGACACAGCGTTGCATGATTGTAAATTTGGCTTGAGGGAAAGGCAGACGACCATAACTGGTCGTGGACAAACGTCAGATGGGGTGACGGAGGGGACGCTGGTAAATTGGTAAAGAAATATTGAGGGCTTGTTCTGCCTCCGTTTGCCAAGCCACAACTGTGGCGACCATTTAGTGCCAGAAACACAAAGATGCGCACGCACTCCGCGCACGTGACACACAGGTGTTAATCAGATGGGCCATAAGCGCTTCATCGAAACAATGCTCGTTAATGCATCACCGTCCCCTGGTTTTATCAGTCGGTGCAGGTGAATATTTGATAATAAAGGAATGGGCACATTCCAGTCCGCTGACTTGTTCTGGCCAAAAGACTCCGGATAGGTGGCGGACGTCAAGATCAGAAAAGTACCTGCTATGCAGAAGTCGGCCGAACTATGGTAGCAGAGGACTGCGGGACAATTTATGCTGAACAGTTTTGGGGTTATTCTGTTTTCAGCCCCGAATACGCATCTGTTCGGCAACAAAACGAAAGTTTCGGCTAGATCGCAGTTGGCAGCCAGGAACGGGGAGGCGGACGGTGACCTTAACCCAAATCCTAAGCTTAACCTAACCCTAACCTCAAACTTGAACGTTAACCGTTAACCCTAACGGCAACCTTAACCCTAGCCCTAACCGAAATCGTAAACGTAACCATGGCCCTTAGACAGCCGTAACTGTAAAACCCAACCGTAATACTGAAACCTAATCGTACACTCAAACCCTAACCGTAATCCCAAGACCTAGGTTTAAAGACATAACCCTAACCCGAAAATCGGAAACCATTACCCCTAGCCTAGTCCTAATCTCAAGCGTACAACAGAAGCCAAATGGGGCAGATGTGATTATGGAGTTCCACAAAAAGCCCCAGTAAACAAACCCCAGCCACCTATAATACGGTAGCTGGCTACCAACTGCGATCTAGCCAAATTCCCTCCCATTAAAAGTGACGTAGGGAAGTCTTTGGACCTTGTGGCGGTCTACTCAGCCTGGTGACAACGAATAACTTGACTCATTGGCATGGTGACGCCGACCAATATGTTGTCATCAATTATTAGACACAGACTACTCAGGAGCACGCTCGCTCCTTGTTTACGTTCAATCTGATAAGCCGATAGTTGTGCCACTTTCTGAACAACTTATATACTCCCTTCCTGCAGTGAATTTATCATGCTAACTGGGTCTCCCTGACTATTGATTTAGAGTTATTCTCGTTATCGATAATTACTCCTCGACAATCCCGAGACGTTTGCTCAAGTACCACCCCATATATGTTTACGAACGCCGCCTTTGAATGGCGCAATTTAAAGAGATTATACGCCAAAGTTTCTATAAGTTTACGGTATATGGACGCCTACCGATCAAGTTACGAGATTTACTTGTTCTATTGTGTCTTGGGGCCCAAATTAAGGCATTCAAGTCAACTGCATAACGAACGAGAATATATGCTGGAGGAAGTTCCGAAAACGACAAGGGAAACTAAGATGACCATTTCTGGCCCATCGCCCGTCGTTGGTCAGCTCTACAGGAGTCCAGGTTTTGCAGGACACGAGGTTCGAAACCGACCTTTGGTCACTGAACACTGGTACCTCAAACGCTCTTCCTTTGAACCACGAGCTCATTTTCCTATCGGTTGTGATCAGAAATGTTGACTACGATATAGGGAAACTTACCAATCAGATTACTGGACGTGCTTGTGTCGTTATGCCTTAGAATTTAATGCGGAGCGCGCGTAGGCGGTTGTATAGCGCATGCTGAGCTGACGACTTAATAATATGGGGGACTGCATATTTCTCCTAAGCTGGAAAGTTCACGAAGTTGATGCTGTAGATCCTTGACAACTGTGTAGTGTCGGTTAGGCTCTAAGTTACTCGGAAATTGAAAACGTCTTCAATTCGGAAGCATGAATTCCATGTAAGCTAGTACAAGGCAGTATAAGAAGAGCGTTCTGCGTATACTCTCTACAAGGTATACACACTTAGACTTACCAGGTTAGCGAAAGTCAACAGGCATAATTTCCACCGTGCAGGCAGTCAATTCGGGAGATATAGTTTTTACAGGCGGCTAAGCAGACGGGCGTTCAAAAGCTACCGTCTTGAAGCTTTTCTAAAAAAATCTGTTGCATGTCACTTCGGTAGGCGCTTCCAATCGGCTTCATATTTTAAAAAGTCAATTAATGTTTCACAAGGTAGACTAGCTAGTGTATACTTTTAAAAATGACAGAACAAGCATACATTCTACACAGTGCTTTGAAAAAATGTTCGAAATAAGAATTCCTCAAATAGGCAGACATTTGCTGGTTACGAAATGGTGTGACGCACTGATTCATCTGCGTGCTGCAGATATAGTGTGCTTGCATAAACCAAGACCGCAAGTTTGGCAAATTCCCATTGCCTATTTCGTAGGTAGCCACTTATAGTTCCGGTATACGGAAGATATAGGAGCGTGTATTTAAATCATGCATTTTTGCCCGTCAGGGTCAAATGCAACGGGCATTATAATATGCTTTGCCTTATCTTTTGATTTTTGCGAAATTTTAATGGCCGGATCCGAGTAAATTGTCCAGTAGACTTTTAAACAACAGGGATTTACTGAGTAGAATCAAAAGTCATTATGCGTTTGATATTAATTACTCCCATTGAATTTTTGGTAGCTTGTACGACAAAAATCGATTAAGCCGATCGATGGTTTTACAAAACAATTTTTATTTCTTAATGTATTAACAATTTCGACTTTTAAATGCTTATGAAATATAATATTTGAGCACTTTTTACAGTAGTAGGTAATAAAAGTTGGTGTCCTTCGCGGTAATTCAGTATTGACGTGTTTACGTTTGCATTAATGTACTGCTTAAAAGTTTATATTAATGTTTTAAATGACAAATAAACCTCCAAAGTAGTCAGTGGTGAGGAAATATACCTTTTATTCTGCATCAGGGCATTAAAACTGTACGGATCCTATTCTCTCCTTGCTTCACATGTATCTTGCCGATCCACAAAAGCAAACCAAGATGAGCGCCTATTTTTCGTTGTTCTCTTGTTAACATCTTATCTACTGACCTTGTGCATTTAACTACATTCGGCGGAAACGACCTTAAAAAAGACTTGAGTTTTGGTAAATTGTCTTTTTTGAATATTTTTCAATAGATACTTCTTAATTTTGCAATGCGTACTTGGGAGCATCGTTTCTCGATCAGCAGATTTTCATAAAAATAAACAAATTTACCAACTGTACTGTGCACTTTGCTAAGTGTTTACATGCTTTTAAAACTCCAATCATCGGATATTTTCCAGTTAGTGAAACACGAACGATGCGCCACAGTCAGAAGTATAATTGGTAGGAACGTAAGCAGATTATACAGTAACAGCATATACCAAGATCGGATCACATTGTACGCTGAAAATCTAACTGGACAAGCTCACGTTTATGAGCAAAACCTTTTTCCCTAGCCTGAAGGCTTTTAGCTGAAGTCAAAGCTTTTTTTATGAAAACAAGAGCGGAATAGATTTTTACAGTTAGGAAGAGGCTCATGCCTGAAGCAGTTGATTTTATTAAACGAAGGAAAAAAACTGTTAATTTAGTTATGAAACAACTCAACTCTCTGAACGAGCAGTTTTCAACATAATAGTTTAATGACTAAATGATAGAACTCCTTATAAATGCTTGGTACATAGAAGCTTAGACTATCCCCAGGAGGGTAGACGCTTTCCTATGATACTATAAAAGAAGAAATCATAGTTACTTTTTAGACTATAAAGGTTGCGGGAAAGGTCTACCAGCCTGACGCCTTTATGAGCATGGTATAGACAAGTCTCCCATTAATAGACCCTGAATGACCGAAACAGGCCCATCTACTTCAAGGGACAATTTGAACGCCTACATCAGAATAGTTAGAGAATCATTGTTAATTAATATTAGGGAAATGCTGCAATACAATTATAAGGCAGTGCCACTCATTTCCTCAGAATATTTTTATTGTCAAACAATCAATAAAGTTTTGAAGTCGACGTCTTAAGATGGATCGGAAGGTTGCTCTTCCGTATTCATTTAGCAGCCTAGGGAAAACGCTTGACGAGGCAGACTGAGTGTCATATGACTCATCTTATACAATTCCCAATGGTATTGTCAGAAAACAGAACTGCTCATGACGACGTGGCTTCCTTTGCATCAATCTACCTGCTCCCAAAGCTGCTGTTTGTTTTTGGTGAAGAGTGTATCAAGAAAAAAATGCATCGTGCCAGTACCCCGAGTTTGAAAGTTATCGATTTCGTTCTCAGGGTCCCATCGCAACAAGCCTAGTGTTTTGTCGTACATGTTTTACACTGTTTTCGCCGACCGTAAATGTACTTCTAGCGTAAACAAAGCGCATTTCCGCCTTGTGTTCATAATATTCCGATGCGTGTCTGCAGTACTGATGCATGAGCTGTTCCGAGAATTTTTCATCGGTGTTTCTGCATGACTACAGGCACATTAAGTCAATACCTGTTTTTCTGCCGGAGCCATAAAAGTCCTGGATCATGTTTTTGATTGTTTGGTTAAACATTCTGGGAATGATGATGTTGTCAAGTCGTTAGTTTACAAGTTCACTTCTCTTGCGCGTTAAAACTACAATTGTGAGTCCCCACATATTTTTAACAAAAAAAACCAAATTTGTAAAAAGTTGACGAGCAGACGATTTCAAGTAGATATGCGTAAACGCATAAATTTAGAAGAGTATGGTAGATCGATTAAAGTCAAATTCCTCGCGGTTGGCGCTGACCAACAGATAAAATAAATATAAAAATCGCATACTCGAATGACCACAGTCACCAAACCACGGCAGAGACCGTCAAATATAGCAGTTCCCGTGCACAGGGATGGACAATGTGCTGAGTTAAAGACAACCTGATTTTTTAGAAACGATTGAATTTTCTGACATAAATGAAGCCATGAAACGAAAGAAAGGCCGCTAAGAATAGCAATTGAAAGGGTTGTGCATTCTTGATAGTCATTTTCGACAACTAATATTTAGCCTGTGGTT